AGCACCCAAAGGCCCCTTTGCTCTTCGCCACAGACAGGGGGCGGGCACGCGGAAGTGGGTCAGCCCCGCCCCGCCGCGAGCCGGCCACGCCTCGCACACGAAGATGGGGGACTGCGGACGGAGAACGTCTAAGCCTATCAACGCGCCCGTCAGCAGCACGCGGCAGGGGGCGGAGCAACACTCGACCCAGCCCATAAGTTATGAATATGGGGCGGAGCCCCTGAGCCCGGAGCCTTGGATTGGGCCGAGCGGCACAGGGGCGGGCATAGGGGGCGGGACCTAGCGGCCGGGTATATATCGTCGAACTCCCGGCAGCCCCCCCCTCACTCGCGCGTTAGGAGGCTCGGGTCTTTGTGGTGTGTCGTCTTCCCGCCTGCGTCAGGGACCTGCCCGACTCAGTGGTGAGGGCCCTGGCAAGGGCAGCGGGAGACCGGGCCTAGCCATTACCGGACAGCGTTTCCTCCGCAGGCCCGGGCCACCAGGGAGCTGGGCGCTGCCGCAAAATGGCGGCCGCGAGCTCGAGGCTGCGCCTAGTGAAATGGCGGGAGTGCAGGGTGCCCGGATGCAGTGGCGCAGGGCGCGCGCGGGGCGCATGCGCGCGGCGGGGGCGGGGCCATGTGGCGTCCCGGGTCCCCTGGGCCGGTCCCGGGCGGCGGGGCTCGGGGTTTGCCCCACTTGCTCTCGGAACGCACGGTGTAGGGTGCCGTCGCGGATTCGGGCTGATGCTCCCGGCCCAGCTTGTTCCCACGGCTCACGCCGCGCTTGGCGCCCGAGTGGGCAGGGCCTCCACACGTGGCCTTTGTTTTCGGAGCTCTCGGGCGGTCGTCCCCGCGCCTCGGTAGTGTCCCTAAACACCCCCTGCATCCCCGCGGGGTCCGCCCAGTGTGGTCTGGCCCTACCTCCGCCCCGGGAAGGGCGGCCTCCCTGCCGGCCAGGCCCCGCCCCTGGCGCCACGCCCTCGGGCTGGTGCACCGCGAGGCACCCAGTCACCCCCAGTTTGCCAAGGGGGAATCGGCTTGGCTCCCTCGGGCACTCTCGGGGTGGAAGCTGGCGTGGGCCCAGGCCAACCTGGTGGGGAAAGGGGAGACTGAGGCCCGTCCCGAGGCAGTGGCGGGTCCAGCGTGATAAAGGAGCAGGTGGGTGTCCACTGCAAAGCAGCACCCCAGCCTCGCCTCTGGGTCCCACAGGCCGCCATGGCGTCGGACGAAGGCAAGCTTTTCGTTGGAGGGCTGAGTTTTGACACCAACGAACAGTCGCTGGAGCAGGTCTTCTCGAAATACGGGCAGATCTCCGAAGGTGAGGCCTGCGTGGAGTGGAGGGGGGCGGGCAGGGGTGGGGCTGCCAGTGCTCACAGGCCTCTCCCACAGTGGTGGTGGTCAAAGACAGGGAGACCCAGCGCTCCCGGGGGTTCGGGTTTGTCACCTTCGAGAACATCGATGACGCCAAGGATGCTATGATGGCCATGAATGGCAAGGTGAGGGGTGGCCCTGGAGCGTGGAGGGTGAGGGTGCGGCCATGCCCGAGCTGACCCGCGGCCGTGCTCTCCAGTCTGTAGATGGGCGGCAGATCCGAGTGGACCAGGCTGGCAAGTCGTCTGACAACCGGTCCCGTGGGTACCGAGGTGGCTCTGCTGGGGGCCGGGGCTTCTTTCGTGGAGGCCGGGGCCGAGGCCGTGGGTTCTCCAGAGGTGAGTGCCAAGAGAGGGCCGGGGCCTCGGGACACAGCGCAGGCCCTGTCGCAGGAGCCGGGCTCACTCCCTCCTGTGTCCACACAGGGGGAGGGGACCGAGGCTACGGGGGAAGCCGGTTCGAGTCCAGGAGTGGGGGTTACGGCGGCTCCAGAGACTACTACAGCAGGTGAGGTGGTGGCGTGCCGCAGAGGTGCGGCGGCGGGGAGGCTGGGCCCTCCCTTCCCCTCCCGTGTGCCCTGCCAGTCTGGGGCCCACGGGAGCCAGGGCGGCCAGGCTGTGTGGCGTCGTCCAGCACTATGCACGTCCTCCTTGCAGCCGGAGTCAGGGTGGCGGTTATGGTGACCGGAGCTCGGGCGGGTCCTACAGAGACAGCTACGACAGTTACGGTAAGTCATGCTCCGAGGGCGCCACGCTTCCGTGGTCTGCTGTGGGAGCGTGTGACCACCATGCTCAGGTCTGTCACTGTGCTGGCCCGGAAGGAACCAGTCCTCTCAGCTTTCCTGCCACGGAGCATAAAGCCAAATCTAAGCAACCGAACCGGAGAGGGAGAGCGAGGGCCCGCGCCGCCTTGTCGGTGCCCAGTGCCTGTGCGGCCACCGGCTCCCTGGGCGTGGGGGGTGGCAGCGCCTGGCCGCGCCGGCACGGTCCAGCCGGAGCAGAGTGCTGCGTCGTCGCGTGCTTCCGCGCCTTTACACTGTGCCTGCTTCTTGTCCTCAGCCACACACAACGAGTAAAGCCTTCCTGCTCAAGATCGTCCCTCCGAGGCTGTGTGTTTTCAGAGCTTGGGAGCTGCGCTGAGTCGTTCTGTGTAGTGGACACCTCCTGTATTCCCACTTTTGTAGTCGTTTCCGTTGATCTGGGCGGACCCAGCCGGCCGCTGCAGACCCCACATGGCCTCGTTCTGAGACTTCTTTTTAGGAAGCGCTGTCCGTTTTAAGGGTCTTAAGAACGCTTGGAAAGCACTTCAGGTTTTGTTCTTTTTACCATGAGCCATGAGTTAAATCGTCAGGGGTTTTGCGGGCTTACAGTTTTTCGTTTTTTCTTCCGGTTGTGCTGCCTTTTTGTTTTTAGTGGGGTCGGCCCGTGAAGTTGGGCGCCCCAGTTCACGTCTCGGAGACTGAACGGACCCTGAGTCTGCTCTGTCGGGAGCTGAGCCAGCGGTGGCTTTTCCAGCTCCGTGTGCCGTTTGAGTGTAGCGTGGTAGGGCACGCCCCGCCCCGGGCCGTGGCAGAGGTCCCTGGAGCCCGACCTGCACGCCCGTGGCTGTGCACCCCGGAGGTTGTTGAAGATGTTAATTTATATTGTCCTTTTTTACCGAAGACGTACGCATCCTCCATCGACGTCGTACCTGCAGTGGCTGAGGAGCTCTTGTACGCAGTTTTCTTTGGCTTCACGAAGCCGATTAAAAGACCGTGTGAAACGAACCTTGCTCTGACACCTTCCCTTTACTCGCACAACACGCTCCCGACAGACAGAGCGTGGGCTGCAGGGCGTAGGCCCACGGAGCGCAGGGCAGGAAGGCAGGGCGACCGACGGGGCGGGCCTGGCAACAGCTGACTGCCACTGTCCCCTTAGGCCAGTGAGGTGGGTGACGCAAGGCAGCTCAGACTGAGGGGAGCCCCGGGAGGCTTCTGACAGTGGCAGCCAGAGGGCTCGACAGGGAGGGCAGGGCAGCAGGGACAGCAAACACCCGGGCACCCGACGCTGACCCGACGGCTGTAGTCAGGAGCCCCCAGGGGCGGTGGGCGCGGTGTCCCCGGGGACCAACGCGGGCCGGTAGCCAGCCTGCTGTGCCTCACGTCCCAGCGCTCCAGGGAGGCACGGGGCGCCCTCCAGCCACTCGGAGCGGGCTGCTCCTTGGCTAGCCCTGCCGGAAGTAGCCCTGTACTCGGAGGTAACTCCTGCGCCTGCACCTCTCCTGGTAGAGAGCTCACTTGAGAGTCAGGTCACACCCGGGGTTGGCCCTTTGACTGGCTTTTTTTTTTTTTTTCTTCCACTTTTTTGCTTTTTAAATCAGGATAAAACTAAAGCTTGGCCACGCACCCTTCCGCCTGCGGGCACTGTCGCCCAGGCAGCCCGGGCTCCTAGGCCGTCCGAGAGGACTGGACCGCAAGGACGCTGTGGGAAGCTGGTTCAGGGACAGCCGGGCCTCGCAGCCGTGCCCCTGACCAGCTCTCACGTCCTGGCCGCAGTGTTGCCCCCAGCCCACGCGGGCCTCTGGGGCGGCCCTGCTGGAGGGGACCCAGCTCTGCCGCCCTGACTAGCCTGACCCGCGTGGGCGCCAGTGGTGTGGGCGGGCGGCGCCGCGAGGCGAGGCCTGGCCTGCCTGCGGGTAACGTTCCTTTGCTTTGGCAGGTTGAAGGCGGCCGGCCAGCAACGGGATGGTCACTGTCCCTGGAGGGGCTGCGTGGATCAGTCGGGTGCAGCCGCCTGCCCTCGGGGCGCCTCCCCGTAAGTGCTGACTGCTCTGGGACCCGCGGTGGGGCTCCGGGTGCCCTGGGTGCCCCGGCCGCCCAGCGCCTGCCCTCCCTCCCTAACAGGACGGGCCGCTGGCCAGCTTCGGGCTCGGTGCGACGGCACAGGACGGGACGGCGGCGCAGCGGCGCGAGGACCGAGAAGGCGGATTTGAATAAAGTCGATGTGCACCAGGCCGGGCGTGGCGAAGTCGTGTTTGGGGTGCGCGCGGGGCAGGGGCTGGGGTTGGCTGTGAGGACAAGTGGCCACGCCGGGGTCTCGCCCGACCAGGGGACGCTCAGCTACGGGACCAGGGCTGTGGGCTCCCTGGGGCGCCGGCGGGGGGAGCCTCGGGTTGCCGGGTGGGTGGACCCTGGCATGCGCGAGCTAGGGCCAGGAGCTTTAGGGCGGGCGCGGCGGACGCGGGGCATTTCCGGCCGTAAGCCCCGCCCCCGCAGGCCATTGGCTGGCGCGGC